AGTGGTTGCAATTCCTGGGTCAGTTCTGCCTCCAGCCCTGTCTTCTACACAAACCAATGGGTGTTGCAGCCCAGCCTGATCCTGCCCACCATACACTCGGCCTCACGCAAACCAGTGGGAGCTGCAGCAAGCTAGTCGGAGCGACCAGCAATAGCCCCTACCAGGCCCATCCCCTGCCTTGGTTCCTGTGCTTGTCAGTTGTATAGCAGACTGGTCCAGTCTGTCCCACGTTCCATTCAATTCTCATACATGTCAATGGGCATTTAAGTTTAGTTCAATCCAATCAATTCCACTATCAAACGCATACACGTGCCAGCGGGTGCTACTCTCTGTCTAGCCATGCCTACCCTAGTCCTGGTTCTCATGCTCACCAGTCAGAGTGACAATCCAAGAGGGAGGTGGCCACTATTTCCCACTCCGACTCCTGGATTTTGCACTCTCCAGGTAGTTCTGCAGTTTTAACTTGGCAGAATTTGCCCCCTCCCCCTGTGCCATCATCTGCCAGCTGATACTGCAGCAAAGCCCAACTAACCCACACCTACTCTGTCTTATGCTTATACCAGTAGGAACAGTCAACCCAGCCTGGCTTTTTCCTGATCTAGCTCTCATGAGGCCCACAGGCATTGTATCCCTGTCCAGCCTGATCTGCCCCCATCCCAACTCTCACGTTCACCAGTAGGAGTGGTGGTCCAGCAGGGGAGCCCCACAAAGCCCTACTACCAGCTTTGCCCCCGCCCTGCTTGGTCTCACATGTGCTGGTTAGGTGCTGCAGACCAGTCTGGCCTGGCCTGCCTCACCTTAGCATTTGCCAGTGGGTGCTGTAGCCTGGCTGGGTCTGGCCCACCCCCACTTCCAGCTTACTCTGGTGGGGGATACAGCCTAGCCCAGCTCAGCTGGCACCCAGTCCTAGCCCTTATGTGTACTGGTATATGTTGCGACCGAACCTGACCTGACCCACACTCCATTCGGATTTGCCAGAGGGTGATATGAACTGGCCCAGCTTGGTTTGACCCTGACCTGCACCAAATGTATGCCTGTGTGAATCATTTACCTGGCCTGGTCTGGGCTGCTCCCTATCATGGTTCTTGGGCTCATCTGCAGGGACTGTATCCTGACAGAGGAGTTCCCCAAGCTCTTCCATCAGAACCTTTCCTGACACCAAATCTCACACCCATTGGTGAGTGTATGGTTCAGCCCTACTTAGTACACCTCCTATCCTAGCAGGAAAAGTGGCCTTTCCTGACTGGCCCTCACCCATTCTGGTTTTTACTGTTGGGAGTTATAGCCCAGCCAAGCCTTGTTCACACCCAGGCACAACTCACACATGGCTCAGCAGCGGCAGAGACCTAGCGTAGACTATCCTATACCTATACTGGTTCACACAAGCACTGGTGGGTGCTGGAGTCTGGCCCAGTCCGGTGCATATCAGACCCAGTCCACACTTATACCGATGGACACTGCAGCCATGTCTAAACCAGATAGCAGCACACACTCCAGCCTTCGCACTCACCAGTGGGAATCACAACCCAGCCAGGGCATCTTCTTTTCTCCCTAACCAGGCCTGTTCCCAGCAATAGATCCTGCTTGTGCCAGTGGTTGCTCTGACCCAGCTTGGTACAATCTCCCCTTTCTTGGCCTTTGCCTTTGGATGCTGTAGCCTGGCCTGATCTAGCCAGCTCCCAGTCCTAACTCTCGCTGGTGGGTCCTGGAACCTGACCCTGCTTATGCAAACAAGTAGGTGTGATAGCCTACCCAGCCTGGTTTCTGCACTTGTTGATGAGTTAAGGTTTGCTCAGCCTTGCCTGGTCTGCCCCCTTCCAAAACCAACCTACATATTTGCCAACAGTTGGGGATACCTTGCCCAGCTTGCCTTACCTCCAGACTGGACCACGTGCTCACCTGCTCACCAGGGGGAGCGATGACCCACTTGGGGAATTTCCCAAGTTCCCTTAGTTGGCCCACTCCCAGACCCAGATTTCATGCATGTCAGTGGGTTCTAGGCCCTTGCCTGGCTTAGCCTGTCCCTCCATCTTGGCCTTGCATGAGCTGGTGAACGTTGTGGCCTGGTATGCCTTACCCCTTGTTTTATGATACACATGTGGGTGCTGCAGCCTGGATCTGCCCAGACTGTTCTCAGTCCCTACACACGTGAGTGATGGCAGGTTCCATAGTCACACCTAGCTTAGCCCATCACCACCCTAACTCTTGAGCTAACCAGTAGGACTTGAATTTTCACAGGCCCACATATCCCCCTGGACCTGGTTCTCTCACGTGCTGGTTAGTGTCATGGCCCTGCCTAATGTGACCTGTCCCTTGTACCGACATTCAGTCAGGTACTAGGATCTAGCTTTGCCAGATAGGCCCACAACCCTAGCTTTTGCATGGACTGCTGTGTAGTGGTCAGCAACGTTTCATGCTATCAAGCCTATTTCAGGACTCCCATGTAGGCTGGTGCATGAGTCTGACCCATAAGATCCTCCAGTCTTTCCACTCCAATCCACCACGTCTCAGTCCCCCTGTTCACCTGCAAGTATAGTGGCCCTATCGTTAGGTGTCCCTAAGGATTCATTCCTCACATGGCCTACATCTATCTGTAAGTAGTGGATTCTGCAGCCTCAGAGCTCCTGATTACATATTTTGTTCTTAGTAAATAAAGTATAGGCCACATCTGCAAGCTGTTGAAACCTAAACCACAGCACTGGTTACTCTGCTTCTAACCCACCTTCCTGCTTTTGCACCTGGCCAGCAACAGGTGCTGGTTTAAATACTTGGGTCCCTGTCATACACATGGGAGAAGGAGTTGGAGTTCCTGATTCCTAATAATAGCTTGCACCAGCCCCAGTATTGTGGCCATTTAGCAAGTGAACTGTGATTGAAAAATGTTTCTCTGTCACTCTGCATTTCAAAAAAAAATTATCTTTTTTAAAGCTCTGTGCTGGGACTAGTAGAATGGCTCAAATGGCTAATCCTTTACCTCTAAGCACCAGCATCCCATATGGGCACCGGTTTGTGTCCTTGATGCTCCACTTCCCATCCAGCTCTCTGCTTGTGGCCTGGGAAAGCAGTGGAGGAAGGCCCAAAGACTTGGAAGACTGAACCCACGTGGGAGACCTAGAAGCGATCCTAGCTTCAGTTAGGCTCAGCTCTGGCCATTGCAGCCAATTTATTTATTTAAAGATCAATTTATTTTTGTTGGAAAGGCAGATATACAGAGAGGAGGAGAGACAGAGAGGAAGCTCTTCTGTCTGATGGTTCACTCCCAAGCGGCCATAAAGACCAGAACTGAGCTGATCCAAAGCCAGCAGCCTGGAGTCTCTTCTGGGTTTCCCACGTGGGTGCAGGATCCCAAGACTTTGGGTTGTCCTCGACTGCTTTCCCAGGCCACAAAGCAGGGAGTTGGATGGGGAGTGGAGCTGCAGGGATTAGAACCGGCACCCATATGGGATCCTGGCATAGGCAAAGTAAGGACTTCAGGCAGCAGGCTACTGCGCCAGGTCCTATTAACATCATTAAAAAAAATTTTTTTTTTTTATTGGAAAGGCAGATTTACAGAGAGAAGAGATAAAGATCTTCTGTCCACTGGTTCATTCCCAAACTGGCCACAATGGCAGAGATACGTCAATTCGAAGCCAGGAACCAGGAGCTTCTTCCTGAGTCTCCCATGTGGGTGCAGGGTCCCAAGGCCAAGGCTCAAGTTAAAGCTGATCTGGTAGATCAAAGCTCCTAGGGCCCTTATGTCAATCCCTCACTCATGCTTGCTAAATACACAAGTAAAAGGTAAAGCATGTCTGATTGTGATTGTGAGAAGCAATAAGGAACAACAAAGAAACAAAGGTGGAGCAGGGAAGGGACAGGTGTGGCGGGCGGGTTCCTGGTGAGGTGGGCCTCCTTCTGGCAAGACAGTAGCCAGGAGCCTGGGGAGGCGCAGCCGGGTCAGCCAGGAACCCAGTCCACTCCAGCCCAATGGTCTTGGCTCTGGGCAGCCCTCTTCCTCTGCTACTGTCCCCTCCATCTGCAATGCCCTTCCCCACATTCTTCCCTATTCCTGCGGCTGCCGGCCACAGCGGGAACATCCTTCAGGGCCCAGGGGAGAGGTCCCTTGCTCAGGGAGGCCGGCCCCCACGCCCAAAGCCCCCCGCACAGTCCTATCCTGCGCTCGATACCACTGGCCGTGATGTGGTCAGGGGCCATCTGAAACGTCCGAGACCCTCCCGGCAGACCCTGGATGCGCAGGGCCCTGACGCCTGCCCAGCGCCTAGCACCGCGCGTGGCCCACAATCGGGTGGGGGTCCGAGATTCAAAGCCGCGTTCCCACAACGCAGCCGCTCATCGGTGTCCGTGGCGCCCCGGGACTGACCCAGGAGGAAGGGTTGTACCCTCTCCGAGCTGCACGGCGCGCAATCCCTGTCCCCATCCACTTAGGACCCGGTAGTGCCGCTCGAAACACCAGCAGACCCAGGAGCCCCAGTCTCCAACGGCACATTCCCATCCATTCCCGAGGCCCAACCTGCAGGTTCCGGGTGATAAGATGCAGCTTCTCTTCCGGACTCGGAGCGTCCCCCATGGCTCAGCGTGGTCCCCTGCCTCGGTCGCGGCGTGCCGGGAACTGTCACGCGAGTCCGGCCCGGGTTGCGTCAGCTGAGCTCGACGTTCGTCTTCCTCAGTCTGAATCCGTTCGCGAGCAGTGCGGAAAAGAGGAGCAGCGGAGAGTCGAACGAGTCGATGAGGCGGGAAGGGGTGGAGCCAGAAAGCAGGGTGGGAGGTGCAAGGTAGGGGCGTGGCCGCACCGCCCGCGCACGCGCAAGTTGCTTAGAGGCGGGGCGGTTTCCTGCCAATCAAAACGGGCTTGCCCTGCCTCTGGAGTTGGCCGGGTGTGGGGGAGGTCGAGGAGGGGGCGACAAAATGGCGCCGGGGGCGGAGTGAGGCAGCGTCGTTCGCCCAGGCTCTGGCGCATCTTCCGGAGGTGAAACGCGGGAAGGAGGAGATGGGGGTCGGCGTTTCCTGGCGGGGCGGGGGATGAGGCGCCTGTTGCTTCTTCGAAGGGGGCTGCGCACCCCATCCGCCCGGTTTTGAGGGAGAGGGACGCCCTCGCTCTACCGTGAGAAGAGCTTGGTTCTCGCTTCTGAGGTGATGGCGGGGAAATGTCCCCACCCCGCCCCCCCTCCCCGCCCCAGCGTCTGCGGGCGAGCGACGCTCCTCATCGTGCTAAGCAGCGAGGCTGTTTGATCCTGGGAGAAGCGGGGAACGGAGTCGGCTTCCCCTGCCCAGTGGGGCTGGGGGCCTGCGGCCTGGGGGATGGGCGAGGCCCCCGTGCCAGCTCGCAGGGAGAGTGTTGTCAAGGCAGGGAAAGATCTCGAGCGTCTCGCTCGCGGGGCGTGAGGACTCGGGGGCGAGTGAGGCAGTGGTCGGGGGCTGGGGGCGTCCTCGGCCCGGAGACCTGGCCGCTGTCGGGGGAGGGGGTGCGGAGCAGCAGCCAGCGCCGTCGCTCCCAGCTTGGGCACGGGGAGGAGAGTAGTGGAAGGGACCCTGCCCCGGGGAGCGATGCCGCCACGCTGCGGGACGTTTCGGAGGCGTTTTGTTTAGGGTGGATGCACCTGGGCCAGCCTTCCTCTGGCCTGGACGCTGGACGCTGGCCTGGTATGGTGGTCGGCCCTGGAGAGGGCTTGAATTGCACACCGACCACCCTGACGAGGTGTCCGCTTTGGTCGAGTTTGGGTTTTAGCCGACCCGTCTGAATTTCGTAAAAAGGCTTTTTTTTTCTCTCTCTCTCTCTTTTTTTTTTTTTTTCTTTTGCTTTCGAGACAGACCTGTTGCAGCAGCAGCAGTTTTAGGAATATCTGGTCTCAGAGAAGCCTTGCCTTGGTTTTCTGTCCCACCGTGTTGCCAGTTCCTCAAAGGGAGTTGCAGAGTCCTTCACAGATAATTTCAGTTCACTTTGATTTAAAACAAAGCAAGCGTTGTGTCCTTGTCCTGGAGTAGTCTCAGAGCCTAGTGAATGAATGCTTTTTGTGCTGTATGTTTTCACGTGTATTGCCTTTGGGCGAATTCAGACATCCGAGGCCGATGGGAAGTCCTGTCCCTTGGAAGTGATCCTTGCCTCTGGCCCTACCTGTCAGATCCAACGTGCTAATAGCCTCGAAGTTCCAGTCCTGGAGGGGTGCTGGCTGGAGCCTGAGGTGGCCGTGTCAGTGGCCCGATTAAGGCCCCCAGGCTGTAGGCACTGGGTTTTTTAAGGTTTGATAAAAATAGACAGGAAACCAGTTTCTGAGGTTGTACCAGGAGGTTAGAGAACAAAGTGGGGGTGGCAAACACAAGTGTGAAGAAGGGGGTGGACAGGTGAGAGAGATGTGGAAGGACAGAATAGGGTCACAGGAGGGGTGGGGGAATGGCAGAATAAGGAAGTGGAAAAAATAATTTTCCCTTAAAAGCTAAAAGGGTCCCCATATTTTAGGTTGCGGTTAGCAAACAAGTGCCAAACAGGGTAGAATGGCAGAGAAGTAATGAAACCTGCCTTGTGGGGACCTCACTTGAGGCTTTGAATTTTTTTCAGAGGCTTTTTTGTCCCTTGCAAACTCGTTAGCATATCAGCTTTGGCCTTTTTAGATTCAGAGTCCTCTTATCCCACCAATGTTCCCCACTGTGTTGAGCCCCCGGGGGCTGCTGAGGTGTCTTTGAATTCAGGGGCTCTTCACAAGATGCTTTTAATGTTTCAGATGTCTGGTGTTTAGTGATGATTCAATTTAACGTGGAATTCAACTAGAAGGGAAAGGCATCTTGGTTAATTTCTAAATAAGCAGAGTAGGAGTTCTCTATCAATTTACTGCGTTTTGTGTGAAAGATTTATTTATTTGAAAGGCAGAGAACGGAGAAACTTCCCTCTGTATGTTCACTCGCTAAGTGGCCCCAACTGCCTGGCCCCGGACTTCATATGAATGCAGGGGTCCAAGCACTTGGACTGCCTTGCTTTGCTTTTTCCCAGGGGCATTAGCAGGGAGCTAGATCAGAAATGCAACAGCCAGGAATGCAAGTGGCATTGGTAACCCACTGAGCCACCATGCCACATACCATTCATCTTTATATCACCATGTTTGCCAAATATGTGCCATTTTGTCTTTTATTGTTTATTAAGAAATGAGAAAGTACAGACAGAAACAAAGTGCTCTGCGATAGAAGTGAAACTTGCCATACCTCTACCACTACAGTAAACCATCCTGAATTTGGCATTTCTCATTTCCACGCAGTTTTTTTTTATAATTTTAATGGTACACATGTGGATTTGTTTTATCAACTAATTGTTGGGGTGTGTGTCCTGTGTGGGTGCCAGTTTGGATCATGGCTGCCCAGCTTTGGATCCAGCTCCCTGTTAAGGTGCTTGGGAAGGTAGCAGAAGGTGACCCAGGGTTTTGGGCCTCTACACCCATTAGGGAGACCTGAAAGAGATTCCAGGCTTCCTACTGACCCAGCTTTGGCCGTTGCAGCCATTTTGAAGAGTGAACCAGTAGATGGTTCTCTTTGTGAATCTGTCTTTCAAGTTTAAAAAAAAAAGATTTTTAAAGAGTAAATAAATAAGACCCAGTGTGGTGGCCTGGTGGCTAAAGTCCTCGCATTGTACACACCGGGATCCCATATTTGTGCCAATTCTGATCCCAGCAGTCCCACTTCCATCCAGCTCCCTGCCTGTGGCCTGGGAAAGTAATTGAGGATGGTTCAAAGCCTTGGAAACCTGCACCCGCGTGGGAGACCTGGATGAAGCTCCATGCTCCTGACTTCCGATTGGCTCAGCTATGGCCATTGCGGCCGCTTGCGGAGTGAACCATCAGACAGAAGATCTTCCTCTCCTTCTCTCCTCTCTGTATATCTGCCTTTCCAACAAAAATAAATTGATCTTTAAATAAATAAATTGAAGACATTGGCCAGTTATTGTATGGACCTTATTTTAAAAAAAATTTTTTAAGCTTGAAACAGCTGGTATAAATAGAAATTTAAACTTGAAATTTTATAAGAAATATTGTTATTTACAGATAAAATGATGTGATGCCTGGAATTTGCTTCAAATTAATCTGGTCACGAGGGTATTCTTGATTGGGGCAAGATCAGCTGTGGATTGATAGTTGTTGGGTTTGAATGATGTTTTTGTGGGAGTTCATTATGTTATATTTATTATTAAAATTCTCCATTTAAGTATTTTTGAAAATGAGAAAATAAAATTAAAGAATTACTTGTATATGTTAAAAATGTGTATCTATAAATGTATACACGAGGAGTCTTTAGAAAGCTCATGCAGAATGCAGATGATGAGAAAACCATGGGAGCAAATGTTCAGCTTAGCCATGCAGACATCTGTGTTCCTCAGTGCAGTGCCTGCGTTTGTCTCCCAGCTCTGGGCCCTGGCTCCAGCTTCTGGCCCTGGCTCCAGCTTCTGGCCCTTGCAGACCCCGGAAGACAGTTAGGGCTTAAGTAATTAGGCTCCTGCCACGATGTGGAAAAGCTGGATTCTGGCATTTATGCTCCAGTTCCTCGCAGCCTGGCATTTAGTGAGCCCCAGCAGGTAGGAGTGTGTGCACTCACTCTGTCCCTTGAATTGTTAAAAGAAGTTTGTGGAAAATTGAATAAAAAGATTAGCTTGTTTGTAAAACAAGGAAGAGGGACAGGCAGAGTGGGATGACAGGTGATACTGCCATCTGCAACCCTAGCATCCCATGTGAGTGCCAGTCAAGTTGTGGCTGCTCCACGTCCAATCCTGCTCTCTGCTAACACACCTTGGAAAGCAACAGGAGATGGCCCAAGTGCTTGGACCCCTACAACCTAGCAGAAAGAAGCCCCGTCACTTGGCTTCGGTCTGCTCCAGGTCTGGCTGTTGTGGCCATGTGGGGAGTGAACCAGTGAATGGAAGATTTCTCTGCTGCTTTCTGTAGCTTTGCCTTTCAAATAAACAAAATAAATCTTAAAATGCGTGGATTTTAGAACTTTTTTGCACTTAACTAAACGTATCTTTTAATTCCATTACTCCCATGAACTTTAGCTCAACATGCTTTTGCGTGTTGAAAAGCTCCCAAGAGCCAGCTCTGCTTCTCTGTCATGGAGGAGTTGTTGGTTATGGTGATTGTGAAGAATGTGTGCAAATGAAGCTTGCATGTAATGCTTTACTCTGAATGATGCATAGCCACATTTGGGGATGTCACTCGTGTTCTCCCATTTCATCTGGGAGGCCAAGGGCAGAAACCTTCGTTGATGTCTGTATCTTCCATGAGCTTTAGAGAGAAAATTCAATTTAAAAGACCTAAGTGTGGAATTTAGTTTGCCGTTTGCTGGTTGACTCTGAGCAAGCCTATCACAGTGGTGGTAGAAAGAACACTGCTTTTGGTCTTAGACCCAAATTTGGATGCTTGTTCTAGAATATTATCTGCTTGTAGTTGGTTAAGTTTCTTAATGCCTGTGAGCTTGTTTTCCAAGTTGAACTCCTTAGTCAAGCATCTGGAAGGCTGGAGACAAGACAGGTGGCTCAGGGAATCTGAGAACGCCCCATGGGTGGGATTGTTTGTGCTTATCAATAAAACGTTAACTTAAAATTTTCCTAAAGTGGACTTTTCTCTTATTGCTCCCTAAAAAGTAACTTCCTTCTATAAAATAGATCAGACTTTAGGAAGTCGAATTAATTTTCTCATAGAAGCACGTGCTGTAATTCCTGGGACTCTCAAAATTGCTGGATTATGGTACATTAACAAGTATTGAAAGGCTCTAAGTCTAGGTATAATAGAAGACTTGGTTTCCTTGATAAGATCAGGTTTTTTCTTTCTTTCTTTTCTTTTTTCTTTTTTTTTTTTTTAATATATACTGGAAAGTCAGATAAATTGAGAGGAGGGGAGACAAAAAGATCTTCCGTCCACTGATACACTCCCCAAGTGGATCAGAACTGAGCTGATCCAAAGTCAGGAGCCTGGAGCGTCTTCCACGTCTCCCAGGCACGTGCAAGGTCCCAAGGCTTTGAGCCATCCTTGACTGTTTTCCCAGGCTACAAGCAGGGAGTTGGATGGAAAGTACAGCAGCTGGGACATGAACCAGCACCCAGATGGGATCCCAACAGATGTAAGATGAGGACTTTAGCCCCTATGCTACCGTGCTCGACCTGACAAGATCAGTTTTACAGTGCTGTGTTGAAGGAGTTAAATTACTTTAGAAATGCCTTTCATTTCTTGGTTCATAATAGATAGTTACTATTTCTGATTATAAAAGTTTGTAACCCCTTTTCTAACTAGTACTTTATCGTCTATACTATTTGGTTAATTTTCAATATTGCCTTAGTAAAATTCTATGCTCCTTGGTGGTGGGAACCACGTCTGGTTCTTGAAAAACGTTCAGAGATGTGTGTAGCTCACTGCTTTGTGACAGTTGTTGCTCAGAAAATGTTTTTTTTTTAAGATTTATTTATTTTTATTACGAAGTCAGATATACAGAGAGGAGAGACAGAGAGAAAGATCTTCCGTCCGATGATTCACTCCCCAAGTGACCGCAATGGCCGGTGCTGCGCTGATCCCGAACCAGGAGCCAGGAACTTCTTCTAGGTTTCCCACACTGGTGCAGGATCCCAAGGCTTTGGGCCATCCTCAACTGCTTTCCCAGGCCACCAGCAGGGAGCTGGATGGGAAGCAGAGCTGCCAGGATTAGAACCAGTGCCCATATGGGATCGTGCATGTTCAATGCAAGGACCTTAGCCGCTAGGCCATGCTGCCGGGCCCCTCAGAAAATGTTTTTATAAAAGTGTGTGTGAACTGAAATGCGAGGTGTGAAGTAGAGAAAATATTTATAGGTAAAATGCCACAGGATTTTCCAAATTGTTAAATTCAGTGCTTAAGTACTTCTAGCATCTCAGATGTGGTAGGTGAAATAGTAGCTTTTTATCGCCTTTCCCATCTGGAAAATATTAGATCTGCTGCTAGTGGTTTAAAAAACGGGTTTTAATTATACAAGCAAATACTCGAGTAGAATAGTCAAATGATAGTGGCATAGCCTTTCCTTGACCTACTCTGTCCTCCCACTGGTCGTAATAGTCACTGAATTTTGTGTAATCTTTATAGATCTTTGTTTGCATTTATATTGATACTGAAAATGAGATTTGTGTCTGTGGTCATGATTAATTTTTAAATTTTTGTAGAGTCTAGACATTACCTAATGCTAGTTCCTTTTCCTCATCCCTTTCCTGTTTGATAAATGAGGAAACAAGTTCCAAATGGTTAGGTGGCTTACCTGAGTTATCTGGTTAGTGACAGAACCAGGACCGTCATGCCCACATTAATCTTACTAAAGCAAGGAATGGGCTTGAGAAAGTACAGATTGTTGGGGGGAATAAAACTAGTTCCTCCGTTGCATAATTATTCCATCTAAAGATTTTTCTTTCGTGTACTTGGCTCAAAAAAATCTAAGTCAAGCTCAAAATTAGTAGATGAGCACCTTAAAGCATCATACAGTTGACTTCGTAATTAGCAGAGTTGGAAGTGATGAGAAGATCCTTTAATTTTCTTTGTGTCTGCAGGAAGGTGGGAGTCAATCATTTTGACAAGTCCCCTGAAAAGAACAGCTAGCAGGAGCTGAACCCTTTTCCATCTGGTCTTTGTGGCAGAGGCAGAGAGCTCTCCAGCAGCTCTACGCAGTATGCAATGCAATTGTTTGTCATGATTCATTTTTAATTTCATAAGGAATACACATCGTTTTACATGGTACATGTTTGTTTAGCTTGCATATTGTAGGTGTCATTCCATGATGATACATGTATTGTATTTTTATTTATTTTTAAATATTTGAGACAGAGAGGCTTAGCTCGTGCTCCCAGCCACCCTTCCCTCTTCAAGTGCCCACTCAGTGAGGACAGGGCCAGGTCAAAGCCTGGAGCCTGGAACTTGTTCTGCGTCTCTCATGGCAGGGACCCATGTTTGTCAGTTACTGCCTGCTGCCTGTTAGGGTGTATATTAACAGGAGGCTAGAGTCAGATTCAGCACTGGGATTTGAACTCAGGCACTCTTATAGGGGATACAGGTGTCTTAACTGCTAGGCTAGTACCCACCTAACTGTGGGTTAGATTTAAAGATTTAAAAGATTTAAAGATATATTCTAATTATTTGAAAAGCAGTTACAGGGAGAGAGTGATCTATCTGCTGCTTCACTCCGTAAGTGGCTGTAGCAACTGGGAAACCAGAAGCTTCCTCCAGGTCTCCTCCACTGGTGTTGGGACCCAAGCACTTGGCCTATCCTCCACTGTCTCCCAGGCCAGAAGAAGGGAGTTAGATTAGAAGTGGAGCAGCTGGGACATGGAACAGTACCCATATGGGATGCAGGCCGTGCAGACAGCAGCTTTACACACTACGCCACAACACCAGTCTAAGCATTTCACTTAGTGTTGTATGTATAGGTTGACACAATTATTTGATTTCTTTTGTGTAACACTGCTTTGAATATCTTTGTATATTTATCTGCAAGCAGTTTTAATAGGTACTTTTATAGAATAAATTTCCTGAAGTGAAGTTCTTGGATAAAATGGTATGTCTAGATTCCTCTTAACAAACTATTATGCTGATTTACACTCTTGTTGAGTGTGTGTGACTGTTTGTTTCTCCACCTCCTTATCAATCTGATGATCAGGTAATCTTAAATTTTTACCATTTTGATAGAAAAGGAGCCCATTGTTTTAACATGTAATTCCACGATCTGATGAGATTAACTATTATAAACTTAGTTTTTCTGTTGTAAGTCATACTATAAAAAATGTGGGTGTTAAGACACCACCTCCATATGAAGCTACCTTGAGAAGTTTCTGGAGGTGACGCTGTGGTTGTGGTGCCACAGGTAAAGTTGCTGTTTGCCGTGCGCAAGTCCCATTGTAGGGTGTTGGTTGATCCTGGCTGCCCTGCTGCTTATCCACCTTCTGCTGACATGCCTGGGAAGCAGCAGGTGGCTCAAGTACTTTGGTTCCTGCCACCTGTGGGGGAGAGCCGGCTATAGCTTTTGGACGTGTGGCCATTGGAAGGGGGGCTGAGTTCTTTCTTGGCCTTTCCTTCTCTCTTGTCATTGTGTCTTTCAAATACATAAATGAATGTTTTTGTTTTTGAAGTTGTAGAAGTAAAGTTCAAAATTTATTTTGGTGCAAAATATTTGAAACACATACTTTTTTTGTCATAGTCCACATTTTCCATGTTTTTTTTTAACCCTTGTATTTTAGAGTGTATTAGAGTTGGTTTAGCGTTTTTTCTATCCCCCTAGTGAAGCATTTTCTTGTTTCTCCAGATATGATGTGCTCACTGATGCCCTCCGAACGGTCTTCTGCAGCCTCTTTCCTGCAAAGCAACAGAGCCTCGTTTTCTTGGGGTTCCTTGGATGAAGAATTGGATGATTCCTTGCTGGAGCTGTCTGATGGCGAGGAAGATGACGGCCATTTCAGTTACACAGAGGAAGAGATCCAGGAGCTTTTAAAAGATGATGACCTGTCAAATTCTTGGGGAGGAGGGTTGCAGAAAGATGATGGTGGACACGTTGAGAAAGGAGGGAGAGGGGGTGCAGTTCTCCTTGATCCTGCCCGAGAGGAGAGCTCCCTGTGCAGCCCGGGACCAGTGCCTCGGTCCCCTGGTCTCTCTAAACTACCTCAACTACATGCATCAGTTGGTCTCCGGCCAACTCCTCCTAAATCCTTAAACAGACGTTTTGCGCTAGAAAATAATCTCATAAAAGTAACTGTTGTTGCACCATTTAATCCAACAGCTTCTGATGCTGTGCATGCTGAGAGCAAAGTTAATTCCTCCAAAATTACAGAAAACCCCTCTTCCCTCAGGGAAGAGATGAGAGATAGTCCCACCTCGAGTGAGAGTGGACCCTGCACTGAATCCAAAGGGGTCAGACCCATTAATTCCGCCCAGGACGGGCCTCTGTTCTCTTCTTCACATGATAACATTCAACAAACTGTCTCTGATAAAAACCTGCCTCGTAGTAAGAAACCTACACCTATATCCCCTCAGATCTCAGACCGTCCAGAGACTCCGACTGCGGAGTCAACCTGGCAAAATGAAGAATCACAAAAATCAAGTAGTTCTGAAACGGAGTTTTCGGTTGTTTCTAATTCACCCAACAAAGTAAGTGCCCTTTTTTGGTTTTGTTTTTTGAAGGTGAAAAGAAAAGTGAAGTTACTTTCATTCAAAAGCTGTGCAGATGAGTTCTCACGTACTGCCTGTGCGTACATGCGCAGCCTCCCGTTGGGATGTCCTGCACCTCACGTAGCTCGTCACAGCCTGGCAGAGCTTCGTATTGAGACAGAGTCAGTTTTGATCCTGCCTGGCAGTGGATCAATTATTTAGGCCATATGCCGGCACGTTTCTTATCTGCAAATTGGAGTATATTACAGTTCACAGTGTAGTAAAGATTCATGGAATAATGGATTTATGGTCCCTGATAGACCTTATTCAGTTGTGATTTAATAAATAACTAATTTGGTAATGGTTTCATCATTTCTGTCTTCGATTAAGTCTGCATCCTGGCTGGCAGGCTGTTCAGTTGGTGGTAGCAGCCCTGAGGCAGGGAGAGTCAGGAAGCGTGAGCAGCTTCACCTTCTCTCCCCTGCTTTCCCATCGCTGCCGCTTAGGGGTTCTTTGCCTTTGCTTCTCCCCAAAAAGCATCGTTGCTAGCAGGATGAGAGTGCCCAGCATGCAGCAGAGTCTATGGATGTGCATTCCGGGATACGCCTTTGTAGTCTTGGGTTTAAAAGTATTTACATAAATAGTGCTGCTCTAGTGCAACTAAACACTATCTTTTGTATTCTTTCTGTCCTGGGGGGGAAAAAAACAGGATATTTGTGGCAAAGATTCTGGGAAGATGAAAGCCAATGAGAAAAGACTAGGCAAAGTCATTCCTGTTCTACAAACTAAAACCAGGTAACATAACTAACTGAATATTTTGATTTTTGTTGGTTTTCTTCAGTTTCTTTCTTTTGCTTCTCATTATCCTCAATATAAATAAAATATTAAATAATATTAAATACTTAGATATATTTTAATGTTATAAATATTTAAATAAAATCACACAGTCTGAAATTCTGGTACTACCAACTGTGTGATCTTGGGAAAATCAAATAATCTCTCTCAGTTTCTGCATTAATGCCTTCTCTGCTGCTTCTCGCAGTTGGTTTTTGGTTTTTTCTTTTTTAAGATTTATTTTATTTTTATTGGAAAGGCGGATATACAGAGAGGAGAGACAGAGAGGAAGATCTTCCGTCCGATGATTCACTCCCCAAGTGAGCGCAACGGTCGATGCTTTGCCGGTCCGAAGCCAGAAGCTTCATCCAGGTCTCCCTCGTGGGTGCAGGGTCCCAAAGCTTTGGGCCGTCCTTGACTGCTTTCCCGGGCCACAGGCAGGGAGCATGATGGGAAGCAGGGCTGCCGGGATTAGAACCGGTGCCCATATGGGATCCTGGTGTGTTCAGGGCGAGGACCTTAACCAGTGCGCCATCGCACCGGGCCCGCGGTTGTTTTTTTTAAAGGGATTGTTTTCTTTTATTTATTTATTTTAAGGATTTATATATTTTTTTGGAAAGTCAGATAGAGAGGAAGATCTTCCGTACGCTGATTCACTCCCCAGGTGACTGCAATGGCTGGTTCTGCACTGATTTGAAGCCAGGAGCCTTCTTCCAGGTCTCCCATGTGAGTGTAGGGTCCCAAGGCTTTGGGCCATCCTCTTCTGCTTTCCCAGGTCACAAGCAGGGAGCTGGATGGCAAGTAGGGCTGCCAGTACACAAACTGGTGCCCAGATGGGATCCTGAAGCATGCAAGGCAAGGACTTTGGCCACTAGGCTGTCATGCCGGGTCCTCAAGGTTGTTCTGAAAGTGAAAATATATGGGACCAGCATAATGTCATAGCAGATAAAACCTTTGAGATGCTGACATTTATATGGGTGCCGCTTTCTGTACCAGTTGCTCCACTTCCAATCCAGCTCCCTGCTAATGGCCTGGGAAAGGCAGCAGAGGATGACCCGAGTACTTGGGCTCTTGTCACCTGGTTGGGAGTCCTGGGTAAAGCTTATATTTACTGACTTTTGCCTGGTCTATTCATTTATTTTAATTCTATTTTCTTAACTTTATTGTCATTAATTTTTTTTTTTTAAGATTTACTTATATTTATTGGAAAGGCAGATTTACAGAGAGAAGGAGAAACAAAAATCTTCAATCCATTGGCTCACTCCCTAAGTAGATGTAACGGGCAGAGCTGAGCCGATCCGAAAACAGGAGCCAAGAGCTTCTGGGTCTCCCATGCAGGGGCAGGGTCCCAAGACTGTTTTTTATTACCTAAAATATATATATATATGTATATATATATATTTCCTTGTATATCTACCTGAAAGGCAGAATGATAGAGAGGGAGACAGGAGAGCTTTCAAGTGCCTATTTGTTACCCAAATGACTACAACAGCTAGGGCTGGACCTGGCTGAAGTAAGGAATTAGGAACTCCATCCAAGAGTGGGTGGCAGGGGACCAAGCCCTTGAATCCTCATCTGCTGTCTTCCCAGATGAGTTAGTAAGGAGCTGGATTGGAAGCATGGTAGCCGAGTCTTACACTGACTTCCCAGTGTGGAGTGCCAGGGTCTCAAGTGGTGGCTTAACTTGACATATCACAATACTAACCCCTTTGCAACAACTTTTTGAAATACTGTTAATGAAAACACTATCTAAATGTTAAGATTTCATTCCCTTGTGTACAGAAAATCTGGGCATGCATATGATAGAAGGTTAGAATAATTTTTAACAAAAATGTTTAAGCATGGTTATATAGAAAATTATCTGTTCCTGCCCCACTAAGGCCTCCTGGTGCGGTTCTCTCTCTCTCCCTCCTCTTCTTGGCCTTCTCTTCCTTGCTCTTCCCCTCTCTCCTCCTCTGGCCTCCCTTCCCCCTACCCTTCCCCTGTTCCTGCCCCGCTGGAATAAACTTCCCAAGATAAAAAAAAAAAAAGAAAGAAAATTATCTGCTCATCTCTTCCAGCTTGCATACAGCTATCCTGGAGGAAAAATTCGTGTATGAGTGGCAGATTTGAACTAATTTTTCAGTTTATTCTCTTGTTGCCAGGAGATGGCAGTCTCTCTACAGGGGCTGTTTCAATTGAATGTCCTAGAAAAAAACTTAGATTATACAGTTATTTTTTTATTTTATTTTATTTTATTTTATTTTATTTTATTTTATTTTATTTTATTTTATTTTATTTTTATCACAAAGTCAGATATACCGAGAGGAGGAGAGACAGAGAGGAAGACCTTCCGTCCAATGACTCACTCCCCAAGTGAGTGCAACGGCTGGTGCTGTGCCGATCCAAAGCCAAGAGCCAGGAACTTACTCCATGTCTCCCACGCGGGTGTAGGATCCCAAAGCCTTGGGCCGTCCTCAACTGCCCTCCCAGGCCACGAGCAGGGAGCTGGATGGGAAATGGAGCTGCTGGGATAAGAACCAGTGTCCATATTGGATCCTGGCGCGTTCAAGGCGAGGAATTTAGCCACTAGGCCACACCGCCGGGCCCAGCTATGTATTTTTTTTATTGTATAGTTATGTATTTTATTATATTCTGCTTGAAATTTTAAAAAATATCACCAATAAGACTTAAAAAATTCATTTTTCTGCTACTCCTAATCTCAGGTTTTTTTTTTTTTTTATTTTCTTGGTATAATTGAGGAAAACTTTGTGCAATGCTTATGGTGGAAATTCTACCAGACAACAAGACGAGTTGCTACCTTTATGATCTCTGTATTCTTATGCACTGACCCAGTGTCAGCAAGAGCCACAGGTCATTTTTCCAGGGTCACCATTGCCCCAGTTGCCAGGTTTAGCTGGTTATATTCCATTTTTATCTCCTCCTTTTCTGTGATTCAGTGAAGCTGTTTCCTGACCTTCAATTGTTTAAAAAGGCTTTTGTTTTTAGGGACTAGGTAAGGTTTGCCTTCCTTGTCAACAGAGTTTGTACCTATTTCTTCTTTGCCTCTTTGTTTCAGTTTCTATCTTGATTTAACTTCATACTTTGCTAACAAACATTCTGCCACTAGATCTTAAATTTTTTAAAATGTATTTGAGAGAGAAATGGGCAGAAAGAGATAGCTCTTATATCACACTGGTTCACTTCCCTAAGGCCCACAATAGCCAGCAGTGTGCCAGGCCAAAACCAGGAACACAAAATTCTCTGGGTCTCCCATGGGGATGGGATACTTCCCAGTGAGGAGCTGGGATCCAGTGCAGAGCTGGGACTTGAGCTGGACACTCCGGTGTGTGACCTGGGTGTCCCCGACAGGCCCTTAACCACTGCACCAGTGGCCCCTTCCAGGTACAAGCCCTTAAAGAGGATTTTGCCTCTGCAAGTTAGTTCTAACTAAATACCAGAACATGGCTTCTCACTGAGAATAACTGTACGTGTGCTGATGAACAGTTTTCTCTCCTGCTTTGTTTTCTTTCAGGACAAGTGTTCCGACATTTTCACAATCGGATCTAGAGCATCAGAAGCAAATTTATCTCAAGAGGGTCATTGCTCATATAGAAGATCCAATGGACTCCAGCCAAGGTAATTGCCACAGACTGGCACATGAACCACATGATGGGTCTTTACCTTCACAACAGAATGCAGCTTAACATGGGAGATGGTTTTGGAATTTTCTTACGTGTATGAGAAGGAAAATTTTCTCCTCCAGAGTTTTACCTCAGTAGATTGCCTAACCAATAATCCCCTAAGAGGTTTGAGTAGCTAGTATTAGGGAAGAATCTAAGTAGATTCATCAGAGTGTTTCTGCATATGATGAAGAAATTATTCATGGAGTCTAAACATTTTTTTTAAAGATTTGTTTATTTTTATTGCAAAGTCAGATATACAGAGAGGAGGAGAGACAGAGAGGAAGATCTTCCATCTGATGATTCACTCCCCAAGTGACCGCAATGGCTGGTACTTCCCCGCTCTGAAGCTGGGAGTCAGGAGCTCTTCCAGGTCTCCCATGCAGGTGCAGGGTCCCAACGATTTGGGCCGTCCGCAACTGCTTTCCCAGACCACAAGCAGGGAGCTGGATGGAATCGGGGCCACCAGGATTAGAACCAGTGACCATATGGGATCCCGGCACGTTCAAGGCGAGGACTTCAGCTGCTAGGCCACCACGCCAGGCCCTAAAGTAATTCTTTAATGTGACAAAATGTGAACTTTACTGCCTTAACTATTTTCACATGCACCTCTCACTGGCATTGAGACCATTCATATTGCTATTAGCCATCATCACAACCCTTCTCCAGAACTTTTTCAGCTTTCCAAAATGAAACTTAACTCCTCTTCCCTTTTTCTGCCCCACCCATGGGGAACTACTGTTCTATGTTACATCTGTAAATAATTTTATTGACAGGATTATAAAACCTAAATCTGAAAAGTTATAAAGTGTATTAAAATCTGATGGCTTATTTAATTTTGGTGGTCTTCTTTCCTGAGTTACTGTTTTTTGTTGTTGTTGTATTTGGTTTTTTGTTTGTTTACTAATAATAGTTTCTATTTGTTGATGTAATAGTGTTTTTTGTTTTGTTTTGTTTTTTAGTTTGAGTGTCCTCCTAAGATCTGTTTATTAGGCATTGGTCCCCAAAGTCTTTTTTTTTTTTAGTTTTTTGTGAGTCTTAAGCCACAATTTAAGCTTTAAACTTTGCAGTATATAGTGATTAAGCATGGTTTTACAGACCTTTGCATTTTAACAATTGAAGAATAGAAAAGTTTTAGGCAGGTTAACCTGCCTAGTGAGTGAGGAAGAATTTAACTCCACATCCTACCTAGTTAACTCCAGGAGAAGCAAATAGGGAGCCTGACCAGTAAATACAGACTGAGCAATTATAGGCTAGTTTGCCATTTTCCTGGCTGTTCCAGACTTTGTATATCAGTGTCTGTCTCTGTCTATCTGAAAAAACCAGATGGGAAGCCTGATCAGTGAGGTACAAGCTGAGTGATTATCAACTAGCTGACCTTTATTAGTCTCCGTCTATCTGAACTAATTTGGGGGCTCATAGGCAGCCCTGATGGTCAGTGTAAGAGAGGCCTGGGAGCCAAGGCTGGAACTAGATAAAGACCAGAGAAAGCTCCTCTCCTGAGTCCAGAAGGAAATTTACAGTCCTTTTATCTCTGAGTGCCACCCAGGGCTCCTGGCTGTAGTTCCGATGTCACCAGACCCTATGAGAGGGTTTTGGGCTGCTACCATCCCGTGTGGGAAATCCAATGGGAAATGACTGACCTCAGAGTTCTCGGCCTCCGAGGGCATTCACAAATGTTTTTTTAATACCAAAATAAGCTTACTTTTGAATCCTTTCTCCATTATCCTTTTTAGTTACCCTAATACTCTTTTGTATGGGATTTCCTGGTTTGAAAAATAAAGTTGGGCCTGGTGCAATAACTTATCCTTGCATTGCGTCTGCTGGTTTGTATCCCAGCTGCTCTACTTCCCATCCAGCTCCCTGCTTGTGGCCTGGGAAAGCAGTAGAGGATGGCCCAAAGCCTTGGGACCCTGCAACTGTGTGGGAAACCTGGAGGAGGTTCCTGGCTCCTGGCTTCTAATTTGCTCAGCTTTGGCCGTTGTGGCCACTTGGAAAGAGAACAAGTAGATGGAAGATCTTTCTGTCTCCTCTCTGTCTATCTGCCTTTCCAATTAAACAAATGATAAATCTTAAAAAGGAGAGGAAAAAATGTAACTGACTAGGTATGGCTTACTTATTGAGCTTTTGTAAGAAATTGATTTTCCTATTGCCTTCAACTTTTTAGATTTGTTTTTATTTGAAAGGCAGATTTACAGAGAGAAGGAGAACTAGAGGAAAAGATCTTTTGTTCGCTGGTTTGCTCCCCTAATGGTTGCAGAAGCCAGAGCTGAGATGATCCAAAGAGCCAGGAGACTTCACCCAGGTCTCTGACATGGATGTAGGGTCTTAAGGATTTGGGCCATCCTCCATTGCTTTCCCAGGCCACAAGCAGGGAATTGGATGGGAAGTGGAGTAGCTGGGACATGAACCCTTCCCCCTGTGGGTTCTGGCGCTTACAGGTGCAGGATTAACCTGTTGAGCAATCCTGGCAGCCCTCACTGCCCAACTTTTTGTTTTGTTTTGTTTATGAAAGGTAGAGTTACAGAGAACAAGAGACGCATCCATAGGTTCACTCCTCAAAAGGCTGTAATAGCCAAGGTTAGTCCAGGTGGAAGCCAAGAGCTTCATCCAGATGCATATGGATAGAGAGGAGCATGTTCCTAGGCTGTCTTCCACTGCTTTTCCAGACACGTTAGCAGGGAGCTGCATCTAGCACCTGTTTGGGATGCTGGCTTCGTAGGCTGGGGGCTTACTTAACTTACTGTGCCATGGTATTAGTCCCTGCCTTCAGTATTCAAATAGGAAAAATTGTATTTTCAGATACCATGCTGCATCTTCTGAATAAAACCTTGTACAAGATTTAACCAATGTTTAGATCCTGTAAGCTGAGTTCTTTCTACTCTTTTAGGAGCTTTTTGTGAGCCAGAGGGACTTATTTGGGATCCCGGCACATGTATGGCAAGGACCTTAACCACTAGGCTACGGTGCTGGGCTCAGCGGGCAAATTCCTAAAGAGATGTTTATGCGCAGAACTGGATGCGTAGAGGTTAGAGAAGCTTCATTCTGGTGAGAGAATTCCTTCTCACAATCTTCTCTCCCTGTTCAGCACACTCCTGTCTAGTACTTTCATCAGCACTGAGTTTGAAGGTTATCAATTAGAAGACAGGATGTTGTTGGCTCTCTGGGAATTCATAGTTTAGAGAAGACAGTAATTCTACCACAATATGATTAGTGCAGAAGGAGGAAGGAAGGAAGCCTTCTGTTTGTATTTGGAAAGAGTTGTAGGTGAGAAAGGCGGGGAGATGCCACAGGGGAGCCTGTTAGTTTAGTTACTCTAAGATTTGCTTGGAAAGGTTTTGGACAATTTTCCACCATGCAGAAAAGAAGTCCTCTCTTGCCAAGTCTTGAATTATTTAGTAGATTTTTAAAATTTGTTTTCTACATCTGTGAGTGAAAGGTTAAAAACTGAGACGTCAGAAGAATTTTTTGTTCCAGGTTCTTTTATTTTTTATTCAAGATTTCATTAAGCAGTCAGATATTACTCATACTGATTTCTCAGGCCTCTACTTGTGAAGTGTTTTTTCCTGAACTATTTTAGGTTGGTGGCAGCAGAGGCCTACCCTCCAGAGTGCCATGGGGGAGGGCCCAAGGGCTGATATGAAGGCAGTGTGTCTGCATTCAGGGTCTGTGGAAGGGGCCTGGGCACAGCTCTCGCCTCCGTGAGGGGACTGACTTTAGTTTATTTCCTAAGCATTTGACATTGGTGATTTCCAGTTATGTTTTCTGTTCTCATTTGGGGCATTTAAAGCAAGTTTCACAAGAAAAGCAGTGAGCAGCTGCTCATGTTGTAACGTCTTTCCCATGTTCTTGCTTATTCAGCGAATCAATCCAATTATTGCAGTAATCTCTACCCAATACTCAAGAACAGCTGGAATGGCTGATATAGTAGAAAAATTGCATACTTCAGAGGTGAGGAGAATAAAAGCTAGTTCAGAAATAATTTCTGGAGTAACCTAGTGGCTAAATCCTTGCCTATAACCACTGGAATCCTGTATGTGTGCTGGTCCGTGTCCTGGCTGCTCCTCTTCCCATCCAGCTACCTGCTTGTGGCCTGGGAAAGCAGCAAAGGATGGCCCATGGCCTTGGGACCCTCCACCAACATGGGAGACCTGGAAAAAGCTCCTGGCTCTTTGCTTCAGATTGGCTCAATTCCAGCCATTGTGGCTACTTCGCGAGTAAACCAGCAGCCAGAAGATCTTTTTCTCTACATTTCTTTCTCTACAAATCTGTCTTTCCAATAAAAATAGATGTTAAAAAAGATAGGAATTTCTGGGTTTGCAATCTGGCACCACTGTTATAGACTGGATAACCTTAAGTCTTTAAATCACATTTATAAAATGGGGGTAATAATGACCCCTAGCTTATGTTAAAATTAGCTGTGTGTAAGTACAAAATGTCACTATGGAACCTAAGATTTATTGTTAGCCATTATTAGCAGAAATTATAACTTTTCATACTAAAGTTTCAGGTGAAATAATTTAATGTCTGGTGTTTATTTTTAGGTATATGATTGATTTTTATATTAAAAAGTTTATTTATTTGGGATGCACAAAAATCGCACAGCAAGTTAATCCTTTGCCTGTGGTGCCAGAATCCCATATGGGCACCAGTGCAAGTCCTAGTGGCACTGTTTCTGATCCAGCTCCTTGCTAATGGTCTGGGAAGGCAGCGGAGGATGGCCTGAGTGCTTGGCCCCCTGCACCCACGTGGAGACCTGGAAGAAGCTCCTGGCTTCAGGTCAGTGCAGGTGCAGCTGTTGTAGTGATTTGGGGAGTAAACTAGCAGATGCAAAATCTCTATCACTCCTTCTCTCGCTGTAACTGCCTTCCAAATAAAAATAATTTTTAATAATAGATTTTTTTAAAAAGTTTATTTAAAAAGCAGAGAGAAAAAGAAAACAGAAGTCTTCCATCT